CGACTGTGAAGCAATGAAGCGTAAATAGGGATTATACAGAGGTTTTTCGCAGATTTTTTAGATAATTTCGCATTTTTTTGTTAAAGAAACTTGGTAGTTTCGGTCTGCTTGATAATTTTTCCTTAAGTGCAATTATATTTTTGAAAGTATATGTTATCAACTGTTATTTGAAAGTTTTGTTTTTATGCAAAATGGTGCTTTTAAAGAAAAAAAATAGATAGAAGGCGATGTTTCTACTCTTTCTGAAGAAAATGATTCGTATCCAGTTACTCAGAAGCCCTGGTGTTTCGATATCCATAGCTACGACAGGTAATATTGTCAACAAGAAAAGGGAAAAAAAGTCAAAGTTTGACTTCAAGTGGAAAAATTGTTCCAAATACATATCAAAGGAAAAAAAAAAAAGACACGTTTCGAATGTCATAAACGTTGTTCGAATCTTTAACTCTTTGAAATCCAGACCCTTCGCTAACTTGTGTCCTCAAAATACCGAAACGCCCGAAATAGTTTTCCAGTTTCACAGCAATTTCCTCCTCTGCCCTCCATTAACGCAGAAAAAGAGTGTGAGATTTCGAATGACATCCTTTGCTACTTCTACAAAGATCCATTAGTCTTCGACCCCGTTCTTAGAAACTATCTGAAAGGCAGACTAACAAGTCTTTTTGGCTTTGTTATGATCATGACTGAGATTTTGTTTATTTCCATTATTTTTATAGGAAGGAATAAATTGTTTAAAAATAAATATAATCCTTAAATTTTTAAACTGCTCTTTTATTGCTGTTTAAAGCTAACAAAGATTCCATTAGCCTTCGACCCCGTTCTTATGAAACTATTCTGAAAGTCAGACTAACAAGCCTTTTTGGCTTTGGTATGATCATGACTGAGATTTTGTTTATTTCCGTTATTTTTATAAGAAGGAATAAATTGTTTAAAAATAAATATAATCTTAAATTTTAAACTGCTCTTTTTGTGTTTAAAGCTAAAAGCATACTGTACCACAAAAAAACAACGAAATGTCACCATCAACCAAAGATAAGAATTTCTTAGGACAAGCTGTCTGCAGTAAACTGATACAATGCATTTGGGGAAACTGCACCTGCTACTGCATATCTTAGGGGGAGGAAAGAAAACAAGATTACAATCTCGGCCGTTTTCGGGCAGTTCTAGTTGTTTCAATGTAGGGCCGTGTGGGGCGGATTGGATGTGAAGGAGTTAATTTTAGTAGAAAATCCGCCAAGCCAATGGTCAGTATCAAATGTGAACAAAAAATGATTGCCGATTTCAATCTTAAGAATGCTAAAAAATAAAGTACATCGTCTTTTTCTACTAACTACTGCGGAACGCAGAATACGCTGCAGCAACATTTATCCGGGTAACATTTATCCGGGCAACATTTATCCGGCAACATTTATCCTTTATGAGCAACATTTATCCCGGCAAAAAATGTTGCCACAATAGACGTATCTTTCGTGTATTCAAATAACTCCATTCAAAAGAGATCCATTTATGATCATCAAAAAGGAGACAAAAGTCTTAAAAAATGGATCAAAGAAAGTTTTCCAAAGGGATTTATGATTGTTATTGGTTTTTTTTTTTTTTTTTCACTACGGCAAGTTAAGAATAAAGAGAGTGGAGAAAAATGTTAAGGTCAAGTCCACATATTATCAGGAACATATCTGATATCAGGAACATATCTGATAAATACGAAAGTTTTCAAATACGAAATACCTTCTGTTTACCAACAATGAGATCAATCATCAGAATTGCATTGAGACAAAGCAAGCGGCCGCACGTTCAAAATCCACTCTTAATTTCCTGGAAATATTGGAACAAGTAATCGGTATAAAAGTCATACTCTTCACTAGTATCCCTAACTAAACCTCCTGATGTATCACTCATGGAATTTTGCGCTTTCGGACTTTTAAAAAGCGAATCGACCTACGATCTCCCTTGGACTTTGGAAATCTATTCAAGAGGAATGGGATAAAATAACCTCTTCTGATACTACAAAAGGCTTTAGTTTCTTTGAAGTAGAAAGATGGCAAAGAAATATGTGTTACGAAACAGCCATTTAAAACACAAAAGATTGGGGTAAAATGTTTCTGTCAATACAATGAAATCGTCTGAAAAAAGTTTGCGAACAGCCTCTGTGAGCTTTTAGTAAATGTACTTGTAAACACACATGAAGCGACCGAGAGCATGATGGGAAGAGAAAGGAAATACACAATATCAAAATTCAATTATCAAATGACACTTACGTAATCTTAAGCCATCTAGTTTTGGAAATGCTCACATCAAAATTACGAAATTTACTGAGGTTAAAAATACTTGTATAGTTAGAATTCTAATGCAAAATTTTGAAATTTTTGTAAAACAATTTATAAATTTTTGAATAATTCTTACTTAACTTTTAAAGGCGGATAAAATTTGAAAATTTAAATATGAAAATTTACTCCAAAATCATAAAGTGGCGAGTACGATTTCGTGTTGAGGTATTCTGTTTACGAGCTTATAAAAGTAAAGTTTCGTTTAAGGAGAATACTAGTATTGAAATATTATTGAATACACCTTAAACACCTTATGATCTTCGAATATGTGACTGTCGCAAGAATTGGGATATTTTATTTATTTCAAAAGCAATTACTTACAACATTTTACAGCTGACTACATAACATAGCTGCTTTGGGAACTAGTAACCACAAAGTTTGTGTTGCCACAAATATTTTTGTAACTGCATCCGCTTTGTGACAAAATTTCTCGTCATGTTTCCACCTTGCGCGCATGATATTTTAAAAATGGCTAATGGTACATACTTGAAATTTGATGAAATTGTATTATATGGGCACTATTTTCTCACTGAACCAAAAATCTGATGAATGTTTTAATATTAAAAAATTTTATGCACTAAAACATTACAAATTTTTTTAATAAAGTACATTTATAAACTCAGCTTCAAATAAAATAAAATTTAACATGAAATTCTTAGAATTTTTGGTTCACAGTAGTTTCCAAGTGTTATAAAAGCTATATATTAAATATCGAATTAAATTATGCAATAGTTTGTTTCCAACTGTGCACACAAGTTGGAAACATGACGAAAAATTTTGTCACAAAGCGGATGAAATTATAAAAATATTCGTGGCAACACAAATTTTCTGATTATTATTTCAGAAAGCAGCTTATTATGTAGTCAGCTGTAAAACGTTGGAAGCAATTGCTTTTAAAATAAGTAAGTTATCCCAGTTCTTGCAGGAGTCACATATTCGAAGATCTTATGGGTTTTAAGGTGTATGAGTCCCCTTAATGGTCTTCAACTAATACGACTTTCATTTAATGAAATTAGGTATTGTTTAGATTGATTTGGATTCTAGTAGCTTCTGTTTACATCTGACTTACAAAGAATTAATTGGTGTTATAGTACCAGGTTATTACATATTTTTTATCATATACTGAACCTTTTATATCTGCTGCAAAGCTGCAAATCTCAATACTACCACGTACAATCATCCCTTAATTTAAAAAAAAAAAAATCAAGGATTGGCATGATTAAACCGTAGATAACTTTACAAAAAAGCGGATTGCTGTGGGCATTGCGCCGAATTTAACTCCATACTAAGGCTAAATTCATTTAATTTTAAATTTAGACATGATGTGCTTTTCTTACATTTTAACAACAAAACAAAGTTTCTTAAATTGTAGGAGAGAAACATGACATTTATTTACATTTATTTAATGCATTGAGAAGAATAGCATATACTGTTTGTTGATACGATAATAAATTTAATTGTTTGCAGTGCAACTGGAGAAGTATTTTTAAGAACATTTGGACGGAATTAATTTAAATTAAATGCTCAGTTAACCTGTCCATTTTAGGCTATATTGAACTACAGTGAGTTGTAAAACAGAGTTTGCAATCAAGGAGTCAAACTAGTCTTTTTCTGTTTAACTAACATTCTGTTTAACTTTAATGATCTGTAAATAATTTATTATTTAACATAATAAATTCTTTCCAGATCGCGAAATTATTCACTTTATCTTATTTGAAAATGTCCTCCGCAAAAACATAAGATTTATTACGAGTTTTAGACAAAAGTAAATGAGATACATTCCGATGGCCTCATAGATCACATGACTTATGTATTGCTTTTGTAAACAAACATTGCGAATGACCTCAGAGATCACGTGACTTATGTACAGCTAATGTAAACAAGCAAGGTCATTCTTCCTCTTCTTCTCCTGCGGAATGTATCTCATTGTGCAATGTATTTAAAGATTATTTTAAATTGTTACCAAATTCTTGTATTTCAAATGTGAAAATTTTAAAAGAGAATAAGTGAAATAATAATAAATGGATTAACGTAATTTTCCAAATGTTTTTTAGCTCAAATGGGGCTATAATTCTCGAAATCGGATTTTGCTTTGGTTTATACTATAAACAGCGTATCACCTTTAAAAATGTTGCCACCGAATATTATCTCCCTGTATTATATTTTAAGGAAATTAAGTCATGAAGAAACAGCATCTATGTATGTAAGTTCTTCGTAATATGAAAAAAGTAGCTAGAATTATCAAAGTACCTAAAGCCATCAAATTTTGAATAACGTATTTTTTATTTCAAATTTTTTTAAATTTTAGTGAATTTTTGATTAACAAACTCAACAATTTGAAAGCAATCAGTAGTAATACTGTTTCAAATAAAAGCACTTTTATCTCCAGCGTGCAAGACTGTTGCCATTCGGAAAATGCAAAACATTTATCTTTCACTTATAACTAACGAACTCGGCTCTAATAGCAACGTAATAGGTTTATAACATGATACTATATAACTGCATAGAAAATTCAGCTGGGCAAATACAGCGGAAAGTACAGCAGGATTTTTGGTTTGAAAATTAGAAAAAAAAAAAAAATCTTTCACAAAAGTGTTTTTAATTTAAAAAATATATATGCTAAATTTTTATCAAAATTTGAATTAATAATTTCTAATTTCGTAATCTTATTTTCAGGAAGTGATATTATATGCACAGTCACTAAAGACGTCAATAAAGAAGTGGAACTTAAAGTAACTTGTCGCATTAGTGAGGCAGGAGATGAGAAGGAAGATAACTCTCCCAAGGTCTCCGATGCTGAAGGTTCACCCGTAATTCTATCACAGAGAAGCCAAGAAAAAGAATTGTTTAGTGCGGAAGAAAAACCAGAACTCGTACCATCATCAAATGAACGTTCAGAAACCGAAGCTATGTTAGACTACGCTTCGGAAGGAAGCAAAAATTCTGATACAGGAAGAACGTATAAAAATTCTCGAATACGCAAATTGTCAAGTGAAAAAAGGTTGAAATCTCGTAGTTACGATAGCGATAGTGACTGCGACATGGATGATGCTCGCCGTGGAGAAGTTAGCAGTTCAACTTCAGCAATGCAAGAGGCTCCATCTAGTGGTAAGTATCATTACTAATAATGTTTATTAATGTAACAACAGATGGCAGCACTACACAATTTAAATTCAGTATTTTAGTCACATGTTTACATTGTTCTCTTAACGTTGCGAATTAATTTTGTTGATATAATTTTAATCATAATTTACCGGTGCTGAACAATTTATAATAATACTCTTATATATCAATATACTAAATATAATAATATTATATGTAAATGATCTATAAATATTGCTTGTTGGATCGATTCTTTTGTGTTAATGTATTCATAGGTTTGCTAGTAAACTGTCATGTCCTGTTAAAATTTTACTGAGAGTTTAAAAAATAATTCATGTGAGTACAAATATTCAGCCTCGTTTCCTTAATTGCAATGAAATTTTTGCTTCGGTTTTCGTAAATATTTATCTATTTATGATGATGATAAAAAAGTTAACTTACCATAAATAAATTTCTTTTTAATCGCAAAAGACGTAATAGTTGAACAATTTATATATGCCTTCGTAATGTCTTAAATGACAGTATTCTGCTCTTTTCGGATGAAATATAAATATAGTGTTACGAATTTGGTATTTAAAAAGCAAATGTTAGTTCAATTATAAATTAAATGGTTTTATTTCTCGCGCAGTGCAGCGGGACGAATATAAAGAACTAAGCCGAAAATTGAAATAAAGAGCGCGTGCATTAAATAAATAAATAACTCTTTTTTTCGAGAAAGTACTGGAAAATTCTAGCGCGTGATTTTAAAATGTTATAAAAGGAGAAACTCTCAGTTCGTAGTAGTTGCTTAGTTTGTTGTTGTTTAGAAAATATGTTGTTTTGTAGCGATTCGCGGATTAGCTTTCTTTAGTTGTTTTGAGTTAAGTTCTCTTGAACATCTGAGTAGTTAAAAGATAACTACTGTGAGAAAAGATAACTACTGTGAGATATTGTAATACTGCATGATAATTTGAGAAATTAAGCATTTTTGTTGTGAAATAAATTTTTGTTCATTTTTACGGAAGTGCATCATTTAGTACGAATCCGACGCACGCAACAATTTTTGGTGTCAGAAGTGGGATTTGAATCCATAACAAGAGCGATGGAAGAGCAGTTAAGGCATTGTAACAGCCTTTGCCTCGTTTAAAGAAATGAAAAGAAGATGAAATCTAGCCAAGGAAAATGGAAGGGGCCGTCAACTCTGTTAAGGACGAATGAAAGCGTTCAAGCTAGTCAAGAAAAGATGAAGCATCAAGAAAAGAAAAGAGAGATTACCTGCATAATAGAAATAAATGAAGCTATGGAAGGCAGAACACAGTTGAAAATAAAGTTGGACTAATTGAAGAAAGAGTTTCTTCGGTGGTGAAGAATAGAGAAAGAGTTTCTTCTGTAAAAGAACATAAAAGGGAGAGTTTCTGCTGTGGAGGAACGAATTGAAGGAAGAGTTGTGCGTCCAACACCAATCGAACCAAATTGATGAGAGGTTCGAAGTTGCCAAGACTGGATACTTTAAAGAAATTCGTAGCGTCGGAGGGAGCAGGAGTGTGATTTAAATTCTTACCAATGCCGCTCGTCCACCTCTGAAGCTATCCACATATGATGGGAAGACCTCCGGCAGGTGTATCTACACAATTTTCTATCGTGGCGGATGCGAAGGGATGGGATCCCAGCTAAGGCCTGTCATCTCGCCGTTCTCTAAGAGCCGAAGCAGCGGATCCCTTCAGACTCTTCCCGAAAACAAAGGTTAGATTTCGAAGCTCTGTCCGGGCCTTGCAGTTTGCGCTTTGGGAGAATCTTTAAAAGACTACAGCAGGCTCCAATTAAAATCTCGTCAACAGAAGCCTACCGAAACACTTCAGAGCTCGCCACGGATTTGAAGGCGTCCCCACCTCGCCTTTTCGGAGTGCCCGACAGAAAGAGAAATCCTGTCGCTGCAATATTTCATCGACGGCATCCAAGATCCTGAAATACAGAAACTCTTCGAAGGCAATGTAAAGGACAGAAAAGCGCCTTTGTACGCAGAAGTTCGAGGCAGCCCAGCAGCAACTAGTAGCTCGCTACCTAGTTAGAGCGTGCGAGTCCATAAGCCAGGGATCAACTGATGGCTCGTTTAGATGATTTAGCCAGACAAAGTCGAAGATTGATAGGAGTAGGAGCGAGAAGAAAGTGGCTCTAAGGTGTTGGAGATGTGGTAGTGAAGGTCACCTAAGACGGATTGCACAATACCCCAGGGTACGAATATAAGCAGATGATTTTACCAGACAAGTCAGTGGCTTGAGACGGAACAGAGTGAAAGAAACTAATTCTAAAGTGCTGGAACTGCGGAGTGAAGGCCACATACGAAGAACTGCAGAACACCCGAGGTACGGAAAATAAGACCATTTCCAGCAACAACGCAGTAACAAATTAGGACCATATCGAGGAACGGAGGTTGCCAGATAGTGAAAAACCTTGTTTTAAAGCTCTTAAATTTATACAGTGAGTGGCAACAATAACGGACTGTCCATCAATGGAATATCGATGGAGTTCCTGCAGTATGATCATTGACACAGGAGCTAATGTTACCATCATTAGGAAAGATTTACTGAACAGTTTAAAGATAAACTTATTGGACGCCATCCTGTGTACCCTTCAGACTGCGTCTGGTGACAAGATCGACATAACTGGGAAGTTAAACCGTAAACATCACGTTTGAAGTGCCGCCTACCATCACACGGCATATGTGGCGGATATTACAGATCCATGCATACTCGGATTGGACTTTTTAAGGAAATACAATTTTTCCTTAGACTTGAAAACAACAAACTGCTTTCAGGATCTAAAGACATGACTATCCATCCTAAGAAGGGATCCTCACCTGGAATGCCGACGCTTTTTCCGAAAGAACCAGCTCGAGAAAGAGCCGAAATCATGCTAGGGTCGAAAAGAAACACCAGACTACCAGCTATTCTCCATCTCAGATGCTCTTCGGTCGAGACCTTCGTCTGATTGTGACCGCTGTTTAGTCGCCCTACGGATGCACCTCATCGCCTGAGGACACATCCAATGCCCAGGCCCGGTTTGAGGGGATGCACCGTTCTGCACGAAAGCGAGTCAACTTGGCGACGGAGAAAATGAAGACCAGATGCGACACAAGAGCTACTAGACAGAGATCCAACAAAGGAGACAAGGTGTGGTTGTGGAACCCAATTCAACGAAAAGGACGGAGTCCTAAATTACAGTCACCTTCGGATGGCCCGTACACAATTCTAAACAGGCTGAATGACGTCGTGGTTCGGATTCGTAAGTCTTCGAACTCTAAACCTAAAGTCGTTCATTACGACAGGTTAGCTCATTACTATGGCCATAGTACGTAATGTAAATAATTGTAAATAGTATCAGACCATGTCCTTTTTGTTTTTAAATGTGTATTTGATTTGATTTGTATTTAATTTAGATTTGCATTTAGTATTTGATTTGTATTTGAGTATTGTATTTTTTTAGTATTTGTTTTGTATTAGTATTTGATATTGATTTGTTTACGTTAGTTATTGCATTTATTGTTTATGTTGTTTGATATTGTAATGTAATGTTTATGCCTCAGTTGCATTTATGCCACAGTTGTAAGTTTAGCTTCCTATCCAGGGATTGTACTGCCCGGGACGTGCAGTCCTTGGGAAGGGGGCAGTGTTACGAATTTGGTATTTAAAAAGGTAATGGTAGTTCAATTATAAATTAATTGGTTTTATTTCCCGCGCAGTGCAGCGCGTGACGAATATTAAAAGAAGAAAGCTAAGCCGGAAAATTGAATATACAAGAGCGCGTGCATTAAATAAATAAATACTCTTTTTCATTCGAGAAAGTACTGGAAAATTCTAGCGCGTGATTTTAAAATGTTATAAAAGGAGGAAAACATCTCAGTTCGTAGTAGTTGCTTAGTTTGTTGTTGTTTAGAAAAACTACTGTTGTTGATTGTAGCGAATTCGCGGATTAGCGTTCTTTAGTGTTTTGAATTACGTTCTATTGGACATTTGAGTAGTTAAAGAAAAACTACTGTGAGATATTGTAATACTGCGTGATAATTTGAGAAAATTTAAGCATTTTTGTTGTGATATAATAAATTTTTGTTCAATTTTCATCGGACTTGTGCATTCATTTAGTAACGAATCCGTACGCACGCAACAATATGAAATGAATGAAGAATGAAATAAAACTGAATGTAAATATAACAAATTGTTACAGGCACATATTTTTGATGTCGTGTATTTTTTATCAGTTCCGTCTTTGAAAATTTTACAGTTATTTTATAGTTATAATAAGAAAATTTTGTATATTTGTTGCATTGTAAAAGCAATAAAACTGCAAAATTGATTTTTTAAAAAATTTCGTTTTAATTTCAAACGGTGTAAGCGTTAAATATCTTGTTATTATTTCTGAATTTAAGTTATGACAACTGATGACAAAGAAATCTTCTATGTTACAGGGCAAATTTACTTTTCTTATTAAATACTGAAGTAATACGAACAGGTATAAGTTCAACGAACAGATGGCAGCACTAACAACTGTTTATATATTTTGTGATCGGAGATGCAAATATAGGATTGTTATTTTAAGAAACGTTAGATATACTTTTTAAAGCAATTCTTCTTTCTTTAAGTGTGTCAATAACTAAGCAGAGTGGTTGGGATAGGCAAAAGAAGCTCTCTCCTTAAGCACTGATATGAATTTTCCTCTCTTTCACGAAGGATATTTTGCAGCGGATTACCGGCTTTTATTTCTTTGATCTGATTGCTTTTAGAAAATATTTTCAGTATTTATCCTTGTATTTATTTATATTTAGTGAAAAACTTTGCCTTCTAAACTCAGAATGGATCAAAAAACGCCCACGATGGGTGAATGTCAAGAAAGTGTTGCTTCCTCATGATAACGCTAGACCGACTACGGCTCGAAGAAAGCTGCAAAAAATTAGTGAATTTAATTGGGAGCTTTTGCCACATCCTGCTTACTCCCCAGACATTGCCCCAAGTGATTTTCACTTATTTTGTGCCTTAAAAAATTTTTTACTTGGAAAAAAAACATTAAATTCTAAACCGAATGTACACAATGAAGTTTCAAGATTTTTTTGCATCAAACCAGAGTTTATCTACAGCAATGGCCTAAAAAAAGCTGCCTGTAAGATGGCGAACATGTAGATAATGGAGGAAAAAAATTGATTAAAGTGTTAATTGTGTTTTTATATAATTTAAAATTTACAAAACTGCGCACGAATTTTGGCTTGACCATACTTACCCGGGCCTTATTTTACAGCTGTCCGTCGTAGACATATTTCACTTACAAAATGTTTCATGAGCAAGTTTCATAGTTGCATTTTAATTTAAAGAACAATCTACCTAATAGCACAATGGTGATCTGCATTGATTGACATACGCAGGGGTATTGCAAAAGACTAGTAGGTTCTTCTAAAAATTATTTCTCCTCTGTCGTAGAACACCGAATGGTTGTGGTGTGGTGTATTTAATTATGCAAAGCACACTAGGGCTATCTCCTAAGGGAGGTCCTCGTGGAGACTTTCTAAGGAAACTGGCTCGTATAACGTTACAAATGGGGAAAACCACGAAAACGTCCATGCAGCTAGCCCGTTCCCGGGATCCGAACCTCGGACCGGACTACCAGTGTTCAGCGACGTTATCGCTCGGCCGCTGGTGGGCCTCGTCATCCGAAAGGAGGAACAAAGTATGCGAAGTTATTTAGGCGCACATTGCAATGGTGTAATGGAAGCACTGAACAATTTGTTAACAATTTGATGCTAAGACAGTGCAAAGAAAAATATCAGATTACTTTCCAAAAACTCAATAAACGTTCTAATTTTCAAAAAACTTTAAAAACATTTTGTATTAAATTTCATTAAGATCTTGTGGATATTTAAGTTTCATTGATTTTTATTAAATACATGCCTATATGCATGCAAATAAAATGTACTCTAATAAATTTAATTTTGTTGAATATACGTTTTTGTTTTTCAATATCGTTTAACACGAAGTTCTTTTAACACGAAAAAATATTTCAGTCGCCCTATAAGGTATTTCTCCCACTTCCCTAGCGTGCTTCGTGTTGAACGGACACGGGTATTAAGGTCCGTGGTTCGATTTCGGCGAAGGCGGTTGCTAATTTTTCATCTCTCCTGCCTCAAATAACCTAAGTGGTGGCCGAACTAAAGGTGTGAGATATCTCCGCACCCAGATCAGCGACTAGGTCCCTAAAACCCTAGTCGCCCTTTAAAAGGGGAGATATAGATTTCTCCCACTTCCTAACGTGCCTCGTGTGTACGTAGCCCTGGCCGTTATTCCAAGGTCGTGTTCGATCCCGGCGAGGCGCTGCTAGTTTTCCTCTCTCTGGCTCCAAAAAAAAAATAATAATAAAAAAAATAAAAAAAAATTCGCTACACCCTCAGTTTCGTGTTAAACGATTTTCACCGTATTTTCTTTTTCATAACATTCATACGGTAAATTACAATAAGCTTGTTATTTTTACTTAATTTGAGAATTAGGCTTTTGTTTATCTGTATATTCTCATAAATAACCATTATGTATCCAGCGAAACAATATCTAACAAACTTAGGAGGATACGAAAGATAAATCTCGTCTAACTCTTATTAATCTTGGAATCTATAGCCTCACCAAAATGTTGGAGTTTACTGGGATTATTTTCTTCCCACCGAAAAAAACTTCCTACCAATGTTTCTTAGTTTTCTCCTCTATATTTTTTCCCTTTCCTAAATCTTAATTCCCGAAACCTTAACATAAGTAAAATAGAGCTGAAAGCGGCTTAATGTAACTTACCACTTATGTGTTATGTCTAGAAGGAAGTGGAAGGGATAAAACTGGGGAAATATTTACCGAAATTTCGTTTGTAAGAAAAGCGAAAATTGTGATAGTTCTCTTAGCGAAATGTTAGTCTATGAATATGAAAAAAAAAAAAAAAAAAAATCTATGTGGCCATCACTTGATTTTCTTGTACGGCTTATTAAATTACGTACATTTTTTGCTGCATTTCGTTTAAATTTCCTCGAATTTCATTAGAGATAAGCTTCTTATTCAATTAATTCAGTCCTGACTTCGAGCAAGGCAAAAAAATACCTAAAAACATTTTCATTAAAAATAGTATAGTGTACTTACGGCAAAGCACACGGGGAGAAACGCCTTTGTGCAGGACTCTCTAAGGGATCGTGTACACGTTACCCATGAGGAAAAACCACGAAAACGCCCTTGTCTTTGCTCGTTCGCCGGGATGCAAACACGAGATGAACTACTAGTGTTCAGAGATTTTACCGCGCGGCCGCTGGAGAGCACTATTAAAAATTGCAAAATACTGAAGAACCTAAAACAACAAATACATTTAAAAACAATTAGAAAAAAGAACTTTTAAAATTAGAGTTAAACATACAATTAATTTTTTACGAATTCCAAATTTGTTCTCATTTTATCACCGTATCTAATTTCTGGCAATTTCATACCTGCTTCATTTTCATCATTCCTATATTTTTTCTGTAATTATGGGTTCATTTGCCAGTTTTGCTTTCTGTTAGAGCCCTGGTAACTAACAAGAAGTGTTATTTCTAGAATCAGTTCATAAAAATAACAGTAATAGCTCTGGAAGATATTTGGGTGGAATAAAATTAATTCATTCAAAGGCTTATATTTTAAAGAAAAGAGTAAAACCTAACAAAGCGTGAAAAATATAGTAGGTACTATCAATGAAATATGGAAAAAATATCAATAAATTTGTATAAAACAGTAATAATATATCTCCAGACTCCTGTGTATTGTGAAAATGTAATGAATTCACCATGTGTTTATTCTTTTCAGATGACAAAGAGTTCGATGGAATAAAAGTCAAATGTGGTAAAGATGCTACTTCTAAGGACAGCAACAAAAGCATAATTTTGGAAGACCAGCGCAAGATTCAACTGAAGGATGAAAGTGGACATCTTCCATACGGATGCCCTGTATGCGATTTCACTGCAATGGATCAATACAGTTACGATAAGCACGTGCGTTCTCATCACAACCTTAACACTAGCCATGCCTCTAATTTAACTAACCCCAAATCATTTTGTGATGCCTGTAAGATTCAGTTCATGTCTATAAACACCTATCAAGTTCATAAGAAATATTACTGCAGATCTAGACACGATACTGAAGATTTGCGGCGAACTTCGCCAGTTGCAGATATTAATGTAGCTTCAACTGCTTTCAGAACAGCCTCTGATACTGTAATTCTTAGGAACGGCATTAATGGCGCGGTGACGCCTTCCATCATTCAGCCTCAAGCTATCTACGCTGCCATTTCAACAAATCCGCTAATACTGCTTCCTTGCTCTTTAGTCCCCGGACAGGGACTGGTGCCACAGAATGGAGTCATTCCAACAGGAGGTCCTAGCATAGTGCTGCAGACAAATGCAACATGTTCTACAGTCGTAGACAAATCTATAAGCTCTCAATCTGTGGAAAGCAGCGGTCCTTATAGAAAGAGCAGTCATCCTGTGATAAACACAGGTATTGAATCGTCAGCAAAGGCTGGGTACAATTCCAAAACACCACAGATGAAACGTAAAATGAGCGAAGGAGATGTACTAAATCTTAAAAAAACGTGCACAAGCGACGAACTTCGTGCTTCTTCTCCAGATAGGATCACCCAAAAGACAGAGAACGAAAACGTGGATCAAGAGGCTCCTTTGGATTTGAGTTTGAAGAGGAAAAGGATTTCCAGTTTACTTTCCAGTCCTTCGTTAATGAAACGTAGAAACTCCTCAGCCTCAACTGGACGCCCATCACCACCTGTACATTCTAGATCTCCACCGTCTGGCTGCATAGTGTCATCACCCCGAGGTGCTATTTCACCATCCAGTCCTTACAATAGTGAAAGCAGTTCCTGCTACTCATCTCATGTCCCCGTAGTTGTACAACGTGTATCTCAGGCAGTTTCGGAAAGAATTTCGCCGCTGCCTCCAGTTCTACAAGCCGCTGTTGTTGGAGACAAGCCAGTCACTACACCTGGAATGCCTCCTCCAAAACTCATGAAACAAGGAAACAATGTATGTGAAGAGTGCCACATTATATTCTATAAGTACGACAATTATTTAGCCCATAAGACACATTATTGCACTAATAGGCGCCGACAGCTTTCCGCTTTAGCAGCTGTCGCTGCTGCTGCATCCTCTGCGCTGGAACATTCGAGTGACGAAAACAGCAACCACAACCCTTTGAATGATTCTACTCAAAGCTGTCATTCTGATGATCCTAGTAAACCTGGACTGCGTCGAATGGAATACGGTGTAGACCATTTTCGGACGCCGGTTGCAAAACAGTCACAACCTGTGTACTCTTGCGACGCATGCGGAGTGAAATTTAGTACTTCAGACAATCTGAATGCCCACCAGACATATTATTGTATCAAAAAGTCCGAAAGCGCGAGGAATGTATCTGGAAAGAAAGGTGACGGAGGCAATAGTCCCAAACTTCTAGAACCTCCTTTTTGTGGGCCAGACGAATGGAAGTGTAACTATTGCGATGCGTCTTGTTCCTCATATGAGACAATGCGGCGACACCTACTGACTCATACTGAACTGAAGGGTTTCTGCTGCGCTGTTTGTGGATACAAAGGAAACACGCTTCGAGGAATGCGCAACCATGCATGCGAGCATCTGAAAGACGACAGCACTTCATTAGATGAATTTGTGGCTTCTTCTGTTATCGCTCAAAGTGCAGCTATACCAGTGTTGCCACGCGCAGTGATTCACTGCAGTGATGAAGAGTCTGAAACTAACAAAGAAATAAAATGTTTGGTTAAAAAGGAACAAAAATCTTCTTTGGAACTCTTTAATGAAGTGACATCTCCTGAGCAAGATTCAGTGCCAACAGACCATTCGGAGCCAGAAGATTCTCCTCGTAGTGACGGAAGAATTTCTGACACTCGTCACAAACAAAGTTGTAGCGTCAAAACGGAATCCGGTGACAGCAGTTCTGACGGTAATGTTAGCAATCACCACGAGTCAGTTAATCCTTTAGCTTTCTGCGATGTGGTCATCAAGACAGAAAACGATCGCGACGGCAGTGCCGACGACTCATCAAGGGATGAACTACCACGCTCGTACATTAAGTTCGAACCTGAAACAGAATGTGACAGCGGTGACAAACCACGAGACATGTCCATTTCTCCATCATCACAGTCAACGTCCGTGATACGCGTTACGTCTGAAGCTCAAAGGTCAGAGAATGGAAAACATTTTTCTCATACTTCGCGGAAGAAAAGGAACACTCAGGTGAAATCACATTCTGAACTTAAATACTGCAAGTCATGTGATATATCATTTCTTCACATAGATAATTTTGTAGCCCATAAAAAGTACTATTGCGTGTCAAGAGTCATACAAAACTGTCTTCAAGAAACGGCTACAGTTAAATGAGCATTTTTACCCACATGTAAATATTTTAATGCCTTTACTAAGAATTGCCATTTGTGTCTACTTTCTTTGTCATTTCAACTTTCGCAGCCGGTTCATGCAAAGCATTTGAATTCTTTGAGCTTATTGCCTCTGCTGCGTGACTTCTTTGAATATGTGAAAGAATTTTATAAAAGTGTACGGAATAGGTTTTATTCAGTGTGTCCAAACTTTCGTGCTCTTATTTTCATCCTATATGAAAATAACATTTAGATCATCCAAATCTTCTTTAATCCAAATATTTTTTGGGATGCAATTTTTTTATCGAAATACTTTTTGGGTGATTTAATGCAGATTGCTTTCTTTTTATTTATTTTTAACTACCATTAAGAACTTAAAGGCATATTAAAAACAGTCAACCATAAACTTCTATACCTGGCCTATTTATATTCATGATCTTTTATTAAATATTTATAGGATATTGTAACTGGTATATTAACAGAATTAACCTATTTGAATGTTTGTTGTTAATTCTCTGACTTGTTTCTAACCTATGTATATTGCACTAAAACAACTATAAATTTATAACGAAATTAGTATTATATTTTAATTCATTAATTTCTTTTGTATAAATTTTGTGATTAAAAAATTTGTTTTTAAAATTTCTAAAGCATTTTATGCTAATCAAATTTCATATAATAAGAGAGTGAATTAAAACAATAGTATAATGAAGAATTTGATGAATCCTGGTTTAACAGAATAACTGCAAGCAGAACTATGCGTTCAAGTAAATGTGGTACTTTAGTACAGAACTAATAAGTAGAATTTTATAATCAAGATTTATATTTGTTCGTTGGCTTATAATAAGGCTTTGTAAAGAGTGTGGTTATACATTTTGAATTTCCTTTTATGTAAAATCTGTAAAAATATTTTAGTAAATGTAATATAACTTTTTTTCAATTTATTAGTTGCGAATAGGTAATTTAATTTGTTACGTTATTAAGTAAAATGTTTAATAGATGCCATTGTAATCAATGTTTTGCATCATGTTAATTATGTTTATTTTCAATCAGTGCAGAAATGCATGCTTATTTCCGTATTTCCCGGTGATAAAAAATATGAAAAAAAAAAAAAAACAGATACTTATGAAATAGTTTTTAAAAGTAGATATGAACTGACAAAATGTCATCATTTTTGTTATTTTAAATAATATTATGATGAAAGAAAATTGAACCGAAAAAATTCTGAATTATTAAGTGTATCAATAAACACAGGAATTTCAAAATTTAAATACTTATGTACCGCTTATTCTGTTCAGAATCTGTTATTCTATTTGATCTGTAATATTATTATTAATGGCTTACAATGCTTGTTTCAGTACCTTCTAGTGATAATAAATATTGCAGACAAACAGATGGGTAAGAAATAGTTTTAAAATGTACATGTGAGTTATGGAAATTTCACGGTTGACTATTTTCCTAAGCTTTAGAATAAAAGAGAAAGAAAATTAAAATAAAAAATAAAAAGTAAATAAAAATTAAACCAAAAATTAAATAAATATAAGTTATTGTAAACCACTAAGAAACACATTAATTTTAAAATTTTAATATTTAAGCACAAATTCTTTTGTTTAAAATTCATTTCGATTATTAATGCTGCAGGGTAACTTACAGGAGGATAAGAATCGAAGTGTCAAACATTATGATAAACGCATCAAAATGTTTCAGCACCCCATGACATGTTCAACTGCTGTGTGAGATTTCATCCGTTTATGTGGTTCAATTAGGTTAGTTTCTTCTGAATAGTAAATGTGCATCTAAGAAAATTACACAATTTTTCGTCTAAACTTGGCTAATTTATTCCTGAGGGGCTGATAAATTTTAATTATTATTAAACATTGTGTGGAAGTTACGTTGTGATAAAAAATTGTGCATGTCATTGACGTACATAAATACACACAAAAAATACATGCAAAAATTGATATTGCTGTTTTTTTGTTAAACTTTGTTGTACGACATAAAGGAAGTATCGCAGTCGCGAAAAATTTAGGATATCATGTTTCAACGGAAACATCCAATTTGACCGTTCCTGAATACCTTTTGACTATTGTTTGATAAGATGACTCTACGTACAGACAGAATAAAGGATTTTTATTCCAAAAGGGACTGTCAAATGAATTCAAAGTGGATTTAAAGTAGTTTCCCCCCGTGACATCTGTGCGTACGTACGTGCATGCGTATTTATCTCGCATAATTCAAAAGCGATTAGCCATAGAGTATGGGATTGCTGTAACAACTAGTTGTGCACTTCGCTTTTTTACTGCAACCCGCAGTACCAAAATTATATATGTAGACAGCCACCTCCTCACCCGGCCTTTATTTTCGCAATTGTTGGTCGTAGTCATATGCTTTCAATTACAGAAACGTTTTAAACTAAGATAATATTCATGCTTTGGCAATGCCAAATAAAAACAAAAAAAAAAAAAATTCAAAAAATAACGAAATGCACCTTTTAAACCGTGCGGTTCGTATATTTGGAAAAGTTTTACAGTCGTTATGAAATGATAAAAATACAAAAACTCGCATTTAATTTCAAAATTTGCAGTTTTGCCATTTTCAGTAATTATTAGTAATTATTGTGAAAAGAACAATTATAATTTTTTAGCTTCGGTAAAATAGTTAGTCTGTCCTAATGTTAGTTAAGGATGGTGTTTGGTGTATTTAATTATGGCAAAGCACACTAGGGCTCTGCCTAAGGGAAGGGATGCCTTCGTGGAGGACTTTCTAAGGGAAACTGACTCGTATACACGTTACACATGGGGAAAACCACGAAAAAGCACTTCAGCCAGCTCGTTCGCGGGATTCGAACCTCGGACCAAACTACCAGTGTTCAGCGACTTTACTGCTCGGTGGGCGTTAGTTTAGGATGAAACTCAGTAAGTTGGCATAAAATAACGCCGGTCTATTGGAAAAATAACCCGTAAAAATCATATTTCTCATAGTTTTTATTTTATTTCTACCAGTGTCATAAGAAGTTTCTAAATAAAAGAATTGAATTTCAAATAATACGTAATCACTAGCAATTTATTTTTATGAAGTAATGAAAATTTAATTATTAAGAATGGAAAATGAACAGAATAAGCAGCATTTACTATATATATTGTGTTTATTTGTATGTATAATGGCATCGTCGATATATTTTAAGATATTAAAAACTTGTTTAATAAAACTGTATGTGGCCATATTTTCTCCGAAAAGCTTTCTATATAATTTTTTTTTCTTATCGTATATGTTTAGATGTCTGCTACTTGTCTGCCATTTTTCACGTTTTTCTTTGTATTTTTAACTAAATCTATTTTCACTTTGTTCATTCAGTTCCCGATCTTATTTTAGAGTCATATATTGTTATGTTTTCATTAGCTTCATTCTGTTTATTTCAAGCTTTGCTTAAAATATATAAGCATTTAGAAAAGAATTTTATGCATATAAAATAAAAAAAATTTCAGCAACAAAATAAAAATTCTAAGAATATTTTCAAAACCGTTTAAGCAGCATTTATCAATTAATTTTGGAGCACATATATCAATGTGATTCGCGTATTACCTTAAAACATCAATAATAAGCACCACTGATAATCATCTCATATGTATACTTACTCAAAAGTAAGACATTATAAACTATGTATAATGATGACATATGTATACATTAAGACATATTACTTTAAGATTTGGATGCATATGTTTCAAGTCATGAAACTTGGCTATTTTAAAATATTTTAAATACAGGCAAGTTAACACATAAATTATGATCAAATCGAAACATTTAAGACAGGCAAATTATGCTTAAATTGGTGTTTCTACAAATTATGGTTTTTAATAGCAAACATGGTTACTACATTTTTACCAGTTATATCTCTGCATATGCTTGCGTAAACTACTTGGTCAATAATTTTCGGAAAAGATCCGTTTTTTAAGGCATTTCAATAACTTTTCTACTCAAAAGTATGATTAGGTAATTACTTGCTGATATTATTTCGTGTATTTATTCTATAAAATCCCACTGTCTTGTTGAATGATAACTACTTTATGCATGTTGTAAATAAGAAAACTTGAATGCAATTCCTTTATAAACAGCTAAATATTTGCTTTTTGACTTCACGAGAAAAATTCCGATAATATGGACGTAAACCGTTTTCTTTTGTTAACCGTATACTTGATGACAGGTATGACAGGTTGACTATATGGAGCATAAAATGTCTATGAATATGTGAAACTGTAAAAAGTAAAGAACTTTGTAGTCTTGTTTAAATGCCAAATAAAAAGTGCATTTGTTATTTTGATCAGAATTGTTTTTATTTTCAAACGTTTGTCATGTTACAAGCTAAGACATAAACGCTGAAGAGACTTTGAGTATTGAACTTGTAAAGAATAATGTGAATATTTAAAGACAATTTCATTCAACGCATAAATTTTATAAAGTAGATTGTAGACATGAAAATATTATCTCTTTCAGCACCTTCAAGAAATTTACAAATATTTTGAAATCACTTTTAAAATTTAGAATACCTTAAGCTCAGTTCGTTTTTAGATGTACCGAAATAAAATGTGTTAAACCATTCGCTAATAGTTATTTGATAAAATGTGCAAAACGAACGCAACGTAAACGGAAGCAGAATGAAATGAACCGGAATGTGCTATTCTAAGCTGATTCTAACGGGATGACGATTCTAAGCTTTTAGATCTCGATTAATTACAAAAGATCATAAATCACATTTATGAAAGCTATTTTCCTTCAATAAATCAAATTAAGAACATTGACTTAATGCAGGAAAGAAGCGATAATAAAATTACGTAGAAGAATTAACAAAACAATAAAGAGAAAATGATTTGCTAGAACGTTTACACATCTGAAAGGTTGAAGGAAAGAAACGCCAATTAAGAACTATGAAAGTAACCTTAAGAAAAAAAGAAAAAAAAAAAAAAATGTATATTCAGGGGCAATAACGTGCAAAAGGAAAGAAAGTAGTTATACATAAACATTTTTCGTTTTCATCCGTTAAATACGTATCACTTTGACCTTTTAATTTTATTTTTTCTTATTCTATAATTAGAAGATATATAGCATTTGCGGGAAACTTCGTGTCGCGATTGCGGAGAAACATTATGTGATTTTTAATCTAAATCCAATAATTACATACAAAAAGTACATTTCGTTAACATGTTTGCGAATTGAACATTTAATAATTTTTCTAAATAAACATAAAAAAGTGTTTCTGGTTTACTATAAATATCAAACATCAATGAATTTATCAAACATCAATGAAAGTTTTTGGTTACCAAATAAGGCTTTAATAAAATACTACAGGGAAAATTTAGTCAGATAGGATAGTTTTATTAGAAGAGAGTAATTCCTCTGTATGTATTGTTGCACGTAGCCATAGTAAAGTCAGTTTCGAACATGAGTATCAGATCTTTATACTGGAAGAACGAGATTCAGATGATCCCTTGATTACTTGAAACGAAATTATACGTTAAAGTTTTGTACAGAAATATTAAAGCTATCAAAAATTAATTATATGTATGTATATCGTACAAATATGCGCACACACAGAGATATACAAGGTGTGACTCATTAAAAAAATCTGATGTGTACACCACATGACTTCCT